TTGCCAAGATCAAATCAGTCATTGCAAAGCTGAGAACTTTTGAGGTTCAGCTGATCCCAAGGGGTCAGAATACTCAAGTCGATGCACTCTCCAAACTTGCTAGTTCAACTCTCACTGAGCTGAACAGATCTGTATATGTGGAAGTGCGTCGAGAAAGAAGTGTCGACGAAGCACCTGAAGTGTGCCGCGCTGACCCAAAGCCCAGCTGGATGGATCCCGTCCTAGCTTTCAAGCTTCGGGGAGAAATTCTCGAAGACAGAATTTTGGCCTCCAAGCTGAAGAGAACCAGCTCAAGGTTCATTGACTTCAGAGGGGAGCTTCTGAAAAAGTCCTTCTCAGCCCCATTGCTGAAATGCGTGGGACCAACAGATGCAGATTACATCCTTCGGGAGATTCACCTCGGCATCTGCGGGAACCACATTGGGGGAAGGGCCTTAGCCCACAAGGCATTGAGGGCCGGATATTACTGGCCCACCATGATCTCAGATGCTAAGGAGCTAGTCAGAAAATGTGAAAAATGTCAAAAATTCGCGCCAGTCATCCATCAGCCGGCTAAAGACCTTCAGCCGATCCTCAATCCACTCCCATTCGCCCAATGGGGACAGGATATACTGGGACCATTTCCAGATGCTACATACCAGAAAAAATGGTTGATAGTCGGTGTCGACTATTTCAGTAAATGGATCGAGGCCGAAGCAACCTCGAACATTACAGAGCAAACCGCCAGAAAGTTTATCTGGCAGAATATCATCACTCGTTTCGGCATCCCGAAAGTATTTGTCTTCGATCATGGGAGGCAATTTGATAACTTGCTGCTAAAGCGGTATACTGATCAGTTCGGTATCAAACTGGCATATTCAGCGGTGTGCCACCCGCAAAGTAACGGACAAGCCGAAGCTGCAAATAAACAGATCCTGAACGCCCTCAAAAAGAGGGTGGAAGATCAAAAGTCCAAGTGCCCGGAGGAGCTCCCAGGAACCCTCTGGTCCCTTCGGACAACTGAAAAAGAGGCAACGGGCTATTCACCTTTTGAGCTGGTGTATGGTGCCGAAGTCGTTCTTCCAGTGGAAATCGGCTCGAAAAGTTTACGAGTGCACCACTTCTCGATTGAGAATGAGGACCTAATGAAAGAATCCCTCGATTTTCTTGATGAAGTGAGAGATTCAGCCCGAGTCAGAATGGCTGCTTATAAGCAGAGAATCAGCAAATTTTACAACCGAAGGGTTCATGCAAGGCCTCTCAAAATTGGAGACCTTGTCCTTCGGAATGCTGCTGCAGTTCAGAAAGGCCGAATCCATGGGAAACTCTCAGCTGCATGGGAGGGACCCTACGAAATCTGTGATGAGCTTTAGCCAGGGAGGCAGGGACATACCGACTTCAGCAGTTGGATGGAACTGAGTTGAAAAATCACTGGAATGCTGATGTACTGAAGAAATATCATGTGTAAACACTTCGGGGCAGAACAATCTTTGTAAGTACATTTTGAATCAATGAAAGGCCTTGGAGCCACCATTTATATAAGTATTTGCAACTTTTTATTCTTTCAAAGTTTTCTTTATTCTATCTACTCTTTAAGGGTTTTTATTCAGCCTCGTCTGAAACCTTATTCTCCGGGTAACTGGGTTTCAGATTGCTGACAAACTCGTCTTTTTAAAGAACACTGGTCTTTCAGCTGAAGTCAAACTTCAGTAAGACTTGTTCTCCAAAGACATGAGTCCATGGACAGTTCTGGGATATTGCCTTAACTGAGCCTTGTATCCCAGAAAGCCATTATCCGAAGCATTGCCTTCAGCTGGCCCTGTGTTTCGGATATCCATTTTTAAAAGATAGACAGAAAATCGAGGACAACAACAACTGTTGGAGATTTTTTATTCAGCCTCGTCTGAAACCTTCGCCTCCGGGTAACTGGGTTTCAGATTGCTGACAAACTCGTCTTTTTAAAGAACACTAGTCTTTCAGCTGAAGTCAAACTTCAGTAAGACTTGTTCTCCAAAGACAAGAATCCACGGACAAGTCTGGGATATTGCCTTAACTGAGCCTTGTATCCTAGAAAGCCATTATCCGAAGCATTGCTTTCAGTTGGCCCTGTGTTTCGGATACCCACTTTTAAAAGATAAGAGAAATTTTTTATTCAGCTTCATCTGAGAGTTAAAGAAACAAAACCCAGCTCAGTAATCCAAAGACTTGAATCTTCAGATTTCTGGGGGGGCAAGAGGCACTATCAGTGCAAGTTTATATTCAGCAGAATTCTTCAAGCCGAAAGCTTTGTACTAGGCAAATTTTTGCGAAAATTTCAAAGTTCAGAATTAGTAAAGCATTCAAAATAAGGCAAAGCAGTTTAAGAAAGGAACATCAGATTAATGATTAATGCTCAGAAAGTGAGCTACAAGTTCAAATAAATTAAAGACTATATCGGCAGCCGCCCACAAGTGGAAAATAACAGCTGCCGAAATACGTACAGAAACAAAAATAAACTGTTTGTACATCAAGGCAAGCTGAAGCAAAAAGATAAGGTAAAAAGAGATTCAGAAAGCGGCGAGTCTGAAGTTAAGCACATGTTGATCCGCAAGATTCTGAAGACGACTGCCCGATTTCCTATGCTTCAGTTGGAGGATCAGGCTGATCAGCCGGGCCAAGCCCCGGGGAAGTCTCGGTTCCAGCAGCAGAGGAGGCAAGTTGGGCCCTTGCCTGAGCTTCAGCGGCTTGCTATTCAGCCTCCAACTCCTGCCGCTCAGCTTCCTCCTCGGCTTGTTCAGCCTGAAGGATCTCATGCTCAGCAGGAGTGGCATACAGCATGTGCGGATCTTCGGGGTCCTGAGCCCAAAGCGCACACTTGGACCAATCCAGCGAAGGCTCAGCATGGAGAGCCAACCTCCGAGCCACCTTAAACCCATTTATGTAGCCCATCTCATACTCTTCTTGGGTGTAGAGGCGGACTTGGAGTAAGGCTTCAGCGTCAGCAACTTCTTTTGACTCTCCTCCAAATCCTTTTTAGATTTTTCTAACCCTTCTGAGAGTTTGGAGGAAGAAGTCTTCTGCTCATTCAGCTCCAGCTGGACGTTGGAAGCTTCGGTTTTGGCCTGGGTCAGCTCATCCCCCTTGACTCTCAGCTGATCCTCCAACTCCTTCAGCTTCTGGTCTTGGCTCTCAGCAGCAGCTTGGGCAGCAGAAAGGTGAACATCCCTAGCCTGCTGAGCCTCTTCAGCAGCCATCCTGCTGGCTTTAAGAGCTTCCAGCTTCCAGCTTCTACTGCACTTCAGCTTGTGCAGCAGCTCCTTCTTGAATTCGGCTCTCGATGACAGCTTTAAATTTGGAGATGTCCACTCCCATTTGCTCCTGAAGGAATTTCTCCCCTTTCATCAGCGGGGGAAAAACTTCCTTCTCCATAGCCGAGCAGAAGGTTTGAATGGCTTCAGCAGCCCTCTTTTCATACTCTTTGCTCTGCTGCTGCTTCTCTTCAGCAGCCTGCTGTTTCAGCTCAGCAAGCTTCGGATCCACCCCCGAGGCCAGTTTACGTATTTTAGTTGTGCAGGAAGCCTTCGGCCCAGCATCAATTGGACCGAACCAGTTTTCATCCACTTCAGTGGGCCTTCGGCAAGGCCCCATTGTTTTCATCCGAAACAACTAGTTTAAAATTTCAAACTTGGAATCAACTTCAATCTATTTTGTTTGTTGTGACTCGCTAAAAAAAGACTTTTTTGGCCCTTCATGAAAATAATTATTATCGATTAATCCACTATATTTGCTCACTTGGTACGTTGGAAAATTTGTAATCAAATTACAAATCCAATTGGAAAATAATAATTCAAATACAAAAACCATATTATAAACCAGAAAAGTCAAAGGATGGGGATCTTATTAACGGGCCTAGATTAATTTTGGGATGATCACAAATTGGGCCAGTAATGTTGTTATTTTCCATCCAAGGCAGCGCTAGATGTTGGGATGATCATAATTTGGGCCAATAATATTATTTTCCATTTATGGTAGTAATAGATTTTGAGATCATCATAAATTGGGCCAGTAATGTTTTTTACCATTTATGGTAGTATTAGATTTTTTCCAAGTTAATGTGAAAAGTAAATGTTTTTAACTCAAAAAACACTCTTAGTTTTGACTAATTCTCATTTGATGTTTGTGCAAACAATTTCACAATCTCAATTAAATTAAGAACAAAGTTGGGGAGGAAATGTTTCATCCAACTCCAATTTGTTGTATCAACAATGGTACGTATATATCCCTCATTTTTTAAAAATCAACATTGTTATGTCTTAAATATTTGAATTAACAAAGTTTTGATTTTAATTTTGGTTATTTGGGAATATAAAACATTAGAATGGATTTGGAGGAATAGCGATTAAAAATTTAACCTATTCATTCTGTTCTGTTCATAAGGATCTTTTGCAATTTTATAATTAAGGCTTGTTTAGAAAAAGAAATTTCGATTGTAAATATAATCATCAATTTAACGAAATGATATTGTAAGTGCGAGAGTACTATTTGTGTAAAACGGGGTATTCTATAATTTTGAAATGGGATGTAAATTGATATAACTTGGCAATTTATCTACTTTTGAAATGTTACATATTGCTTTTGATATTGATTCAATTTTGATTTTAGAACAATGTACTTACATTACATTAGGCAGTTTTAATGTGGCTGCTTCCAATTCCATTGCGAGTTTTGTGACAATGTATGATTAGCCTAGATTATTACTCGTGAGTTACTCGAGCTCTGCATAGTATAAGCATAAATTAAGCTCATCATTGAAGTACAAGTTATGAATATATCAAATTGTAGCTTACTATAAAACCTTATGATGATTATATCAAATTGTGGTTATAGTTTTTACGATATTTGATGAATTCAAGCTTACCTTGAATTCGAGTTTTGATAAGTAAATGTAAACAACATTGCATTACCCCAAGATCGAGCCTAGCTAACTCGTTACTCATTCTTTTCCAGGTGCAAGCTTATTTTAACTTACTTTCATAACAATAATGAAAACATGGGCAGGTTGTGCTCAGTTGATTGGGGTTCCTAGCCAACATTCCAGGGTTCTTAGTCATCATGGATATACCGAAAATTCCTTAAGATTTCATCGCCAACGAATAAAGACTAGAAACAATTTTGCTACCAACAATTGCATTAATGAGACAAAGCTAAGTTTCTCACAAAACAAGGTGTTGCATGACAAAAAGAGGCTAGTGAAAAGGCTATGTTTGCCCTTCACAACTGATGCTACTATTTCTAAAGATGATGATGATGATAATTTTTCTGCCTTCTTCACCCACCTCTATAAGCAACTGAATGCATTTTATCGCTTTAGTCGTCCTCATACTATTATTGGCACGGTATGTTTAACTGATACTTCATAACCATCAACCATTATTTTGCTTTCGTATTTGAAGCTTATTATGTAATGTATGAGTTTTACTTTTTTCCTGCAGTTAATAGGTGTTACATCAGTCTCCCTTCTTCCGATTGAATCAATTGCTGATTTGTCCCTTGAATTTTTTGTTGGTTTGTTAAAGGTATACTTAATTTATCTTGCTATAGATGTTTAAGCCAACAATATCAAATGTAACTACTACCTCTGTTCTGATTATTTTATTAGTTGTAAGCTAGACTTAGCTTGCAACGCATTACTAGTTCAAATTACACTATCAACGTTACAATTAGCAAAAATGTGACAAAGATAGATTAAGAGTAACCCAATGTGTTGTTTTGTTTCAGGCATTAGTTCCATCAATAATGATGAATATTTATGTTGTTGGCCTTAATCAATTGTTTGATTTACAGATTGACAAGGTATCACAAACTTATTTTTTCATTACTAGTATATTACTCCTGAAATTTGTTGTGTCTTTATTTCAAAAAACAATGCTTATAATTTTTTGGCAATCATGCCATCACATAAGTTTGTATTATAACCTTTAGTTTTCTACATTTCAATTGCCAACCATTTCAGGTGAGTAAGCCAGATCTTCCGCTTGCTTCGGGAGAATTTACAATGGAAGCAGGATCAATTATTGTAACAATATGTTGTCTACTAGTAAGTAAATTAAACCTGATTATTTGTAAACCAAAATCTTTGATCAATTAACTTTGTACTTGTATCACAAAATATCTGTTCCCCTAATCTTTTTTCATCATATAGAGTTTTGGTATGGGATTTGCTTTTCAATCCCCTCCATTGTTCATTGCCCTTCTAACAAGTTTTATTCTTGGAAGTGCATACTCAATCGACGTAAGTAGCATCTATATATACACTCTTACATGTAATACGCGTTAGTGCATTGTACGAATAATGACCTATCAACTGCAGCGTCCCCTGCTAAGATGGAAAAAGCAACCATTTCTTGCAGCAGCTTGCATTGTTATAGTGAGAGCTATGGTGGTACAACTTGCCTTCTTTACACACACCCAGGTATAAAATGACATTCATCTCATTTGCAATTTTATAAATTATCTTCATAATATTATTAAATAGAAGGTAATCTTCAATATGAGCAGAAATATGTGCTAGGAAGACCAATAATGCTAACAAGGTCAGTCATATTCGCAACAACTTTCATGTGTTTCTTTGCCACAGTCATTGCACTCTTCAAGGTATTCTCCTTTCATTTTACTCGAGATAATTTTTATTGTTGAATTTTAAAAGGTTTACAACCTCTCATTAACTTTGAGTATTGTAGGACTTACCAGATGTCGATGGTGATAAACATTTTGGCATCCAATCCTTCAGTGTTACGCTAGGAAAAGAAAAGGTCTGTTAACTAATTGTTGTATGAGAAAATTTGATTTAACGACTAAATAAAGAAGTCTCTAAGCATAATTTTAGCTAGTGATATGAGCTTGAAGCATGTCTATATATGTATCATCCAAATTCCCTGTCCAAATATAATTAATCAATGTATGATGTTACACGTATGTACTCTTTAGGTGTTTTGGCTTTGCATTAAAATGTTGCTTGCTGCGTATGGATCTGCCGTGGCTGTAGGGGCTACTTCGTCATCCTTGCCTATCAAGCTTGCAACTGTATGTGTTTACCCCTATATAATGTTATTGATGCAGTACTAAATCTACGAGTAGTCATGTAAATCTGAATTTCTGTAGGTACTTGGTCATTCTGTATTAGCAGCGATTCTATTGCTACGAGCACAATCTGTTGACCTTACAGACAATGCTTCAATAACCTCATTCTATATGTTCATTTGGAAGGTACATACATTGATCATATATGAATGCAATTTTATACAACGCGAGTAGATTAAAACCTGGAGCTGTCATGTACACTCCTACTACTTGGATTGATCATATGTGATTAAGCAGCGATTTTTGGCATTTGCAGCTATTTTATGCAGAGTACTTCCTGATTCCTTTGATTGGCTGAGCAAAACCCAGGTGCAGCTATTCTATGCAGAGAACTTCCTAATTTTTGTATTAATCAAAGACAACTTACACCATTTTCTATAGTCCATTATAGTCTTACAAGATCACTAAAAGTTAATATGCTAGTAAAAAAAACAGGTATGATATTAGGAATGTTATGAAATTGATTTTGTTTACAACTTTAGACAATTTTAAGGTCAATGAGGTCTGTAGTTTGACATTTTCTTCATGTAGTTAAGATTTGCTTAATGTGTTGAAACTATACATGATTTATAAATGTTTTTGAAGGATATAGAAATGTATTGGTAATAACAGGTTTGTTTGCAGATTTGTTATGACTTCTAGCTTGTTGCATAGGTACATTAATAAGTTAATTATGGCATTATTTGGTAATCATAGCTTGTTACATTATTATTAATTGACTGGTGCAATAGCTTATCATTGGGGGAAAAAAATGAAATTGGAGTTTGTCCTATTTTAATCAAAGATTAAAATTGTAGATCTTTAAAGCTACATGTAGATTTTGAAAAGCCATGCGGGAGAAATTGACTGGGTATTAAATATTTTAAATGATAGGTGGATGCCTAAAATCTTGTCAAATTAGACTCCATTTTGCCAAACCTAGTAATGGTCCAACTCGATTCAATTTTCCAACGCCTTGAATTACATTATGAATATCAAATTATCTACTTAACAATTACAACTCTAACTTTATCGCTAAGAATCAACCCACAAGCATCCATACGCAGAATCGCTAACATAAATATTTTGCACAAGCATAATTTTTACATATAAAACAAATTAGCGATTTATTCCCTATTAATTATTTTATTCAATATATCATGTGTAAGTTTTAATTTTTAAAGATTGAATATTCAAAATCATAAGTATATATTCCTGTCAAAAAAAAAAAAAAACAAAAAATCATAAGTATATATGAAGATAAATAATGAGCATGATTTTCAATATTTCAGGTAACAAAAAAGGAGCATTAACCATTAACCATAGTGAAATACACAAAGCCATTGTACAGTGGGCCAAGCATAGATAGAAAAGAGTAGGTTTAGGCCCAAAACCTAAATTAAAACCCTCTTATAAAAGCTACAAAATCCAGAGCACTCCGACTTCCTCACATTCCTAGGGTTTCTCTGTATCTCTCCTTCGGCTTCCCCAACCTCTCTGCATTCGGCGGCTCATCCTCAACCTGCAACCATGGTAATTCAATCAATCCATTCTCTTTCTCTCTCCTCTAGTTTCTGTAATTTCTATTTTCTGTGATTTGTAATTGTTTCCTTCTCTTTAATGGCAGCCGTCCCACAAGTCATTCATGATCAAGAAGAAGCTCGCCAAGAAGATGAGGCAGAATCGTCCCATCCCTTACTGGATCCGTATGCGTACCGACAACACCATCAGGTTTGTGTTTTTTCGTTTTTTCTTTTGATTTTAATCTGTGGATTTTTGTGGAACAATCGGTGGTTAATTGAATTAATTTTGAATATTTGCAGGTACAATGCGAAGAGAAGGCACTGGCGCCGTACCAAGCTCGGGTTCTAAGGTGTTAATCATAATATTTCTGCACTTGTTTGGTTTTATTTTGCGGTAGTGGTTTTTTTTGAAGGGGATTATTATCATGTAAGGTTTCATTTCGTAGAACAATGACAATACTATGGTATTTTTAGATTTGAATTATTTCTTGTTGGAACCCCTGTAATCAGATGCTTTTCATAGCAATTATTTAGTAATACGACTGTTTTGTTGTGTTTCTATTTATTGGCTTCTATTATTAAATACGCATTTTTAATTATGTGCTTTCAATTTTATAGTTGTAGTATGCGATATGAAATTGTTCGGGTCGAGTTTCAAATTCATTTTGATGGGATGCCTGCAATGATCTGCTGTAGGCATTTAGTTAGTCTTGTACCCTTTTGATTACCCCTGTTATTTGGATTGTACACCGATTAAATGTGAATTATCTTTTTATGTTTATATTTATTGCGCATCTTCTGTTGTTCACCTTGCCTTTTTAGTCCAAATTCACAACATTTTGTGTCTTCGATCGGCTTCTCCCTTCTGGATGTCCATTCAGCTTCTTTTTCCTTTGAGCTTATTGCTACAAAGTTTTTGAGATCGTTTAGTGTCTACTTTTCTCTTGTTAATTTGAGTTTACTGTGCCAAACTTCCTCTCTTGCTCGATGTAGGTAATCATGCTTAAATGTATCTCTTTTGTCCTAAGAGAACTCCTTAAAACTGCTATAACTTCATGTTTTGTGCTGAGCCTTTCATGTTTTTGCTTTGCATCCTCATACTCAGACAAAACATTCTCAAAGAACTGTTTTGATTATTATAATTGAATGTCAAATGCCTTCTTTCGTGTGCCAAACCTTGATTGAACACCTTTAAGTGAGTTTCAAGGCTTCTAGTAATTCTAATTTGGGAATTCAATTTGAACTGCATTGTTGTCATTCAACTTGAAGTTGCTTGTGAGCTTCTTCATGATTTTGGAACTGTTTTTTCTTCTCTCTCAGTTGATCCTGGACACTCATGCTTTGCTCCTTCAATTTTGATATAACCTTCTCCCGGTTCTTCAATTCTCTCGTTGCTTTGGCTGTTTCTTCTGCTTCAGAGTACTTCTGTTGTGACTCTGATAGAAGGGTTTTCATACCTTCAATCTATTTACTGCAGCTCAAAAAGCTTCCTCTGCAATTCATCATATTTTTCTGTTGCTTCCTTTGAAGCTGACACCTATCTTCTGTTTTCCCCTTCCAGCATCTGTGTTTTCTCACCAATCTGAATTTTGGAATTCATAGAACTGACTTTCTTAAGTGATGATTCCACTCCATGTAATTTGGATTTGACCTCTCCATAATGATGTCTCAATTCAGCCGTCTACCCTGATTTGTCATTCAGTTACTTAGCCTGTTTATCAATCTGCAACTTTGCTTCTCAACGAGTTGGTAACTTGGTCTGAGTGTGCTCTCCTTGGACTTTCAGATAGTTCAGTTTCTGCTTTTCCTTCTGCATCTCGCCCATTTTTGCTTCGATTCAATTGAACTGATCCAAACTCTGCTTCAGTAATATTGATGATTTTTTAGTTTTTCTAAACTTGAACAAATAACTGACACTGAATGTATGGTGAAATGGAAGGGAGGTGTATAATATCATTATTTTGGGTTTTTGGATAGAGTAATAATTAATGAGTTGCTGGTTGACAAGAGAACATTATATCAAGATTTCATAGAAAGCAAACAAGGCAAAGCCAAGAAGCTCTTGCTTAGCAAATGAGCAAAGCAACAAAAAATAAAACTTGTTCATGTAGCACTATATTACGTTATGTGTTCTTCGACGCCCGCCCACAAAAAATAACCTCCTTTTCTTTGTTTGCATGAGCAAATTTTGGTACTTAATTTTCAAGATTGCAGGGATTATTATTGCTGGTCTTTGTTCAACCAGTCATTGCTAATTTCATTTCCTTGTATATAGAACTGTGGAGTGGTTCTGATGTGTTCAAATAAAGCCCTATACTTTTTGACTTGCAAAATTAGTTTTGACATGTGAAGATTAGTTTTAATTATCAGCAAATATTGGCTTTGATAAGCAAAAAAAGAAATACTATGGCCTGGCTTAATATGAATCATCAGCTGTTTATATCCACTTCAAAGCATTGAGATAATCGACAATAACATGCAAAATGTGGCACACTATGCTGCGTTGCTGCTAGATGGGCTTGTGTTACTGAAATGAAAAGTTCACCGCAGCTAGGACATTTGACAGTCTTAATCTTGCTGCGTTCTGTAATTATTGATTCTTGTTGCTAAATGTGCTATACGGAGTACCATGCATAACCATTTCTGATGTTGGCCGAGTGACACAAGAGTAACAGATGAGATATCTACTAAAAGAAGAGCTGGATGGTTAATTCATCAAACATCGGTTTAAAATAATAATAATAATAATAACCGGGATCTTAACGTGACCTTGTCACCGTATGAGACAATATTTAAGAGACAGGGAGGAGTACTTGACTTACTATTGCCGAACATGACGAGAAACAAACAAATCAAAAATGATTTTATAAAAACTTGACTACACTTCCTAATTCCTATCAACTACTTTTTGGAAAGCTATTAAGGTATTGTTTGGTGGATATGGGAACTTATTTCCCATAGACAATTGCATTTCATTGAAATTAAACTCCCATATTCAATTTTCTAGGAATTGCATAAATTTGTTCGGTTGATATGAAGGAAATTGTAATTCATGGGAATTTTGAGTTACCAAGGGGGCCTTGGTAATTTAATTCCCACATTTTGTAGGAATTGGAAATTCCTACATATTTAACTTTCTATAGTCAACCAAACAAACCCCCAATTTTTAAGTTCCCAAGATTTTTCAATTCCCCCAATTTTTAAGTTCCCGTGATCTAGAAACTATTGAAGATAATAAAAAAAAAAAAGTCATGGCGTAGAGAACTTGCATAAATTTTGATCACCAATACTATTTTGAAACTTCATAGAACTTGCATCTTCTTAGTGTTTGACCCCTTCAAATTATTGAAACTATACCCTAATAATATTCATCAATATATAGCAAGTTATTTTAATTAAAACCAAAGTTTCTATTTCATACTGTACATTAAAATTTTTGTATTTGTAGCTTAATGGACGCAACAGGGAACAATAATGTTGAAGCATATCATGTTCAACGGCAGCAGCAGATGGAAGAAAAAAGTATCAAGCTCAAAGGCATGGAGCCTAAGCTATACAATGCGGCACTAAATGGATCAATCGAAGGCATAAGTTTAATATCGAATTGGAAGGAACAGGCAACGCCCATGGGAAACAACATCCTCCACGTTCATATAGGGAAACCACTCTACAACACTGTGTCCGAGGATACAAGAAAAAAGGTTAGCATCGAGTTCATTGAAGAGGTTCTCAATGATGAGCAAGGTACTATATCATCAGGTTATTTGCTGCTATGGAAAGAGAACAACAATGGTGACACGCCACTGCACCTTGCTGCTAGGTTCGGGTACTACAAGGCAGTTCAATTGTTCCTTAAACGAGCTAAGGAGGTTAATCAAGAGGAGGTGACGCGAATGCTGAGGAAGACCAACAATAATAAGGATACTGCCTTGCATGAGGCAGCACGAGGGAGTCATGCTGCTGTGGTGAAGCTGCTAGTAGAGGCGGATTCTAGTTGTCCACATGAGGCTAATGAGGTGGGTGAGACTCCCCTCTATCTTGCCGCGGAGAGGGGATCTACTGCTTCAGTGGCTATAATACTAGAAACTTGTCATCCATCGTCTATGGGTTATGGTCATAAAGGTCCTTGTGGTCGAACCCCTCTTCATGCTGCAATCCAATGGGGTAACCCGGGTAAACTTCTCATCTCTGTACCAACCAACTATATCGTATTTTACAACCACATCACAAGCAATTATGTTGCTCTTAATGTATTGTGCATAATTTAGTTTTACTACGTCCTTAATATACTATATTGTAGGCAATGCAATAATGTTGCTTCTTACATGCATAATTTTATAATGAGTATATAGTACAATCCATCATTTTTCTTAATTTATTTTGTTAGCTTTCACGTGTAATTTACAGGTGCATATTTGTGATAGCACAACTAATTATTATATGATCGAATGTTGTGATGAATATATGTCAGAGATGGCGCAAAAGATGCTGGAAAAAGAAAGCTCTCTAATAAGGATACAAGACGATGAAGGGCTAACTCCACTCCACTCCGCGGCTGCAGAGATCAGCAAATTACAGCTTCTTAAGGTGCTTTTGCATTATGATAGCCAAGAGACCGAAACATCAGTACTATACATTCGAGATAAGAAAGGACGAACACCACTTCATATTGCAATACTTCGGTGTAACTGGGAGGCCATTAAAAAGTTGACAAAATGTCGTCCAGACTGCATCGAGATAGTAGACAATTATAGGCGAAATGTGGTACATTATGCTGCAAAATGGGGTTGTCTCTATAAACTTAAAACTTGCCTCAAGAAAGGTCATTTTGACAACCTCCTTAACGAGAAAGATGTAGACGGAAATACACCTCTTCATCTATTCGCCGCTTCCATTCCTAACCTTGGCCATGCTTGTCTACTAACACTACCGTGTTTCATAAGATCAAAGTACCCATTCCTAGACCTCCAAGCTTTCAATAAACAAAACCTTACCATTGGGGATATTTTCGCTTCTAAATTTCACATGCTTCATCCCGGTCGGTCTGTAAGTTCCTTTAATTTCACCTATTGACTTTGTGACTTTAGACCAATTTGGTTGATTCCTTGTTATGTAATTTTATTGTTTTGTATGTTTTTCGTGTAGAATATACAACGGCTTAGAAGTCTGATTACTCCGAAAGGAAAGCGAGTCAATGCATATGAAAATGAAGTTGATATAGAAAAAGCAAGTTCAAACGCAGTCTCAAAACTAGCTTCACTAAGAAAAGCAGCTCAAGGGCAGTCGTTGGTAGCGGTGTTGATTGCAACGGTATCTTTCGCTGCTGGTTTTACATTACCCGGTGGATTAAATCAAAACCCGGGAGAGAATGTAGGTATGGCTGTGCTTCAGAGTAAAGCCTGCTTCAAAATATTCTTGATTTCAGACGCCTTGGCCTTCACATGCTCCACCCTAGCAATACTCATGTACTTTATTCTTGTTACTACGGAAAGTACCTTCATTTTTGAGCCTCTCTCACATTCTGCACTTATTTTGAACACTATTTCATTGGGTGCCTTGATGTTAGCATTTACCACGGGTGTGTCGGTTGTGGTGTGTCACTCCCCTCATCTAGTGTTTGCGATATGGGCTATTGCTATGGTCTTCTTCCTCTACTATCTAGTGCTAATCTTTCGAAATGTTCGAGCTGGACTGCATCACGCGAGAAGATGTTTGGCTAGGAATCATCAAAGTTTTTAGTAAAAAAAGCACATTTTGATGATTTGAAAGTCACTCACTCCATAGTCCATATGCAGGTTACCATGATTCACACCAACAAAAACAAGAGAGGGAAGTTTGAAACCTAACAAAGGGTTAGGGATGAATAAAACATACTTCCTCCGGTTTTTTTTTTCTTGACCTGCTTAGACTTTTACACTATTCACCACTCCTCCTTTGACCGTGTTTTGTGAATAATATGTAAGGAAAAACATATTTATGTTGGATCATTTTGAATTCGTCTCAATAAGTACTATCATAATATATAACTTTTATATTTTTTAATTATGGAGAATTAAAGTTAATAGCCGTTAAAATTTTGCATTGACAAGCGTGATAAAAGAAACAGGTCAAGTAAAAAAAACATAGAAAGTACTATTTAGATTGGGCCTTCTTGCTCATAAACTTTTGTTGTGTAAAATTTATTTTATATTATAGAGTCATATGTTGTTGAACTTGTTGAAACCCATTGTAGCCCACTTATGAGTGCCCCACATTGGAGAAAGAGGAGAGATGATTTCACTTTATAAGGTAGAGGAGTACCTCCTACTATTGCTAATTGGTTTTAGTATGGAAGCTCCAAAGCCTTGTTTGTGGACCAAACTCTCCTCCTCCTTATCCGGGTTGCCCAGGCCCATTTTATATTGTTTCAGATGGTTTCAAGTTTATTTTTTTAATATTATTTGATATGATAGTTATTTTCTTTTTTTTGTATAATTCAGCTATTGCTATAATACTTCTACTATCTGGCTTTGTTTATGACTTGATGCAATTAATGAAATAATTGGCCTAGAAGTTAAGTAAATGTTCTTTCAAAACCAACTTCTGTATTGTCTTCTACTAGTTTTTACTTCCTATTTGCTTTGTCTAATAAGGCTTTCAGCTGGGATGCCATGCTTCATCCATTATTGCTTTTGTTGGCTATTGTTGCCTGTAAATTACATAAAACTATGCAGAAACCATTAGGCTAAAAAAGTCATTTTTCCTACCTTACTTATAATTACCTAGCATAAATGATGTACAAAATGTCAGTCAATTCGATTATTTGTTATTGATAATGCTTATCATTTCACATATGAATAATGTCTAGTGTCCAAACAATGCTGTCTGCAGTATTTGCTTACTATACTTATACTATATATTTATTAAATATACTGTGTAGTCCATCATAGCACACACCAACATTATGTGGTAACTAACTACACCTTAATGTTACATCCTAGAAGTTTAACCATACAATTCGCTTGGAACCACACCCTAGTAACTTGGGCAAAATATGAAAAGGTTTGGGAAGAAAAAAGTTTTGTCCACTTCTTAATACTAAAGGACTACTTCTCATATACTTCCTCCGTTTTTTTTTTAAGTTGACACCGTTTGACTTTTACACTATTCATACAACATGTTTTGACTCGCTTTTGTGGTTTATGGATACGATAATAAAACATATTCATGTGGAATCTTGTTTGAATTATTTCAATATATATTTTATTAATATCTACATTTTTATAATTTTGCAATTTTGATAACTAGAGATATTAATCGTTAAAAACATGCATTGACAAGCGTGATAATAAAAAGGGAAAGTAATTTTGAAGTTGAATTTTCTTGAAATTATAATGTGGAATTTCTACTGCTCGGGTATTGAAGATTTTGGTGGATGCTTGAATGTTTGATTAGCAACGTTTAGGACTTGCCAAATGCGTAGGCCCACTCTCTTGGGCCTTTGAGACAAGTCATAAGAACTAAGAAGAGAATGATATATTGCATAATTGAATATCTAGTATTCATATTATCATATATGCCATTTTATTTTTGGCCACCCTATTCCAATCCCATCGGCATTCTTTACGTGCACTATTTTTATTATTCTAGTACTAGTATGACAGTGAGCGGTGAATGAGCCTTTTTCCGAAGGCCCCACCGCGACGACGGGGCCGAGGCCCCGAGAGCTAATGAACAAAATCAAGGACAGTTGCAAAAATATAATGCATAATGCAATTGCATAAAGACAAGGCAACAAAGAAAAGCAAAGACAAATTAAACAAGCAAGTTTACACCACACGTACGTTATCTTCCATTACTACTCCACTTGACCACTTCCTGATTACTCCATTTTAAGATTTTACTAACTTATAAATCTAACTATTAGATCATGTCGTGGCTTCTGTCTTCTGTACAATCGATCCTATCACTGTGAATAAATTTTTTGTTCCTACAAAACCTTTTTCCTTACTAACTGTACGGTATATAGATTGGGTGAATCTCTATATCGAGCTCCACTATTTTCCTAGTATTACTAGGGACTACTCTAAAACGTACTACGAAATTTTTAGATTATGATGCTTTTTTGTTCGTTTCATAAGAAATTAACTCATATGTAAGTTGGCTAATTATTCCATCTCGTTAGACATATATGTGTTCAATCTCTTCCAATATAGATCGACTTGTGCCAACTCAATAAAGATTTATCAGTTTTCCATTTTAACTATACAATATATTCTAAATTCACATTTGTTGAGTAAATAGGCACTTTGATGGATAACCGTCTAAATACGAGTAAATTATGTTTTCCATATTATAATTTAACAGAGTAATATTTTATTTTCAATTTTGGTATCTTAAAAAATTGTTCTGTAATTACAGAGTTTTTTTTTTTTTTACATAAAATGAGCCAAACATAAACTATTTCAACTTAATTGAGATATATAAAAAGGAATTTTTTTCTATATTTATAATTACGGAATTATAGACAACTGACATATTATATTGTCATAATTCAATTAAACTTGACTTATAAACGAAGTAATATATCTGTGCTCAATTATTGTACAACTCTACAAGTATTAGCTAGTTTGTGCTTACATGGCAACAATAATACCAAAAAATTGCCGTTTCTTCTTGAAAAAATTGATTCTTGTCTGCTTTCATTTCACAATATCAAGCAAGTATTAGTTCTCTTATGAGGCTAGAAGTTGTTCGTTATCGGCTAAGATGCTTTAATATTTTAATGTATGACCTGATTGATTGTATTATGACTTTAATGATTGTTATCAAGGGATAAAACTATAAATGCCGACTTATATGGCTTATATTCAACCCAACTTTTCAACCTCTAAAAGTTTCGCAACTTGCACAAGTTGTGCATTTGACCACTTGCGTATCACGTATTTATGTTGTTTTGTGTTGGGGATGGTGCACTAAATACACCCAATAATTAGTTAAAAATAATTTAAAGTTCTTAATAATACTCCCTTCGTCTCTTATTTACATGTCGATTTCTCTTTATTACTATGTGACAAAAAAAGGATTGTGTTAGAAATAGGCATGTAAATAAGGGAAGGAGGGAGTAGAAGATTTATCATTACTTATTATAATTAAAAACCCCTTTCAATAATATCGTAGGGTATTAGTGAGTACAATGGTACTACTCCGTTTAAATCATTATATATAATCTCTCACTAATATCATGCTATTTCTCGCCACTTACTCCCTTTTAGACTTTTAATTATAGTGTATTTGAATTCGATTTGCTGTAACCCTAAATTTTTAATGCACACACGGCTCTAATAATGATTGTTTGATTGAGCATAGGAATTAATATTTCTTAGAAAGTCAAATTTCTTATAAACTTCTTTCAGATAAAAAAACCTAGTCATTTTAAGGCAGTTATAAAGATATTCATATCATTTTAATGGAAGAACTAAGCAATATGGTGTGACCAAGAGTAGTGAACTTGGATTGGATAAATCTTTGTTTGATTTTTGTTTTGGGCCTTTGCCCCTCTCTAGCACACAAACAATTTCCTTGATTTAGATGTTTTATAAAATTCTTATAAAAACACAACTTTCCAGGTTTAATGTCACTCCAATAATCAATTACTTCACAAACACATTATCTGATGGCAATGCCCATAAAATAGGCACACTACAACAGTGTTTAGCTATAAAATGCCAAGAATTGAAGCTTCTATGATGCTGCGTGTCTAGTTGCCTACCCCACATACGTTCCTTCCCTAATTAAGCCAGTCTTGGACTTCAACCTCACATATGAATAGGATATAGCTAGCGCCCCTTAAGTAAGTCAACAAAACAATAATCTCTTAATTGCAAAATCCACCGCAAACTTAATTATTATTTCTTCTCTTCAATGCAAATAATGTGTAATAAGCTAATTATTTAATTGGAATTTCGAAAGATTATACCAACACTCTTGTACAAAGTAGGTGAATGATTAATTAAATTGATAAATTTGTAATACCCTGTTTTGATCACTAATAGATCTAATTTTTGACTTTTTATATAAGTAAAAAATTATACCTAGATTCTCCATCTCTATTTCATAATTATTTCTATTTTAAATTTTCTTTAAGAAAAAAAAAATTAAAGTAGAAATAACAAATAAGAACAGATGAAATAAAAGCTAATATTAAAATGTACTTCATATATTGTAACAAATTAATAAGATTACATATAAACAATCAAATATAAAGATGTGAAATTTGGAGAAAAAGGCCAATTGTGGTGTTGTAGTGGGAAACCAACTCAACAAAGGTAACAAATGATAATGGATGTAATATTAGTGTCATCACTAATATCAAATAATGTTATTAGAAAACAACTACAACAATAATTCAGTCAAAATATCTAATGCAACCATCTAACTAAATCAACTGATTCTTTGCAATCAACTATCCACTAACTAATTATTACTCTTATCAGCTTGTGTTATAAATTTGTGTATTGATTGTATAGCTAGTACCAAAAAAAACAGTCTTTATATAATTGGCTACATATTAGCTAGTAAAAAAAAACAACAGTCTTTATATAATTGGCTACATATTAGCTAGTAAGAAGAGTTGCTAATGAGTTAACAAAGTTGGAGAGTATCTGGACAGCGAGAATGTGTGAAATATGCAAAGATCCAATCCCACTGTCAGCTCTATCACACTGGCTACAGGCTACAGCAGAGATCAACAAGCTAAG